GAGAGAACCGGCGGCGAGCGGGGGGGGGGGAACTCGGGAGCCCAGAGACAGGGCTCCATGCAAGCGGGGGTCGGCCAGAGCGCCAGATCTTGCAGGATCCTGCAGGGCCATTGTCGCATTGACCCGGGCTTGGGTGGAGGATCCTGCAGGATCCTGCAGGATCCTTCGCATTGACCCGGGTTTGGTTGCAGGATCCCGCAGGATCCTGCAGGATTCTGCAGGACCTGACTGACCCGGGTCTGGATTGACCCGGGTCAGAAGATCCCCGAGGAACAGAAAAGGAGAAGGCCCTCTCAGAAGGCGGTGGGACTTCTCAGAAACCCTCGCGCCCTCTGAGAAGTGATCTGTGTCATTAAGTGAGAATCCGAGGCGAGAATTTATACATGATCACCGCCTGGAGGATCAATTTTCGGGGACATCGGCAGGCCAACATATATCCATATCCACCGCCCGCTGGGGCACCAGGACGTCGGTTCCCAGGCGGTGGATGTGGACAAATCCCCGCCTAGCAGAGAAGGAGAAGGCCCTCTCAGAAGGCGGCGGGGCTTCTCAGAAGCCCTCGCGCCTTCTGAGAAGTTTTTTGTATCTTCGGGCAAGGCTCAGAAAACGTCTCGGCAGGCCGGGGGACTTCCGAACGTTCTGAGAAGGCCCGCCCTTCTCACTTCTCCCCCGGGCTCGCCGCCGAGAACAGGCACCCATACCGCTACCCGTACCTCGTCTTCCTCTTCTTGGGGCCTCCTGGGAGGCCCTCGTCGCCACCGCTGGCTTCGCCTCGACCTTCGGGTCCGAACGCGCCCCAGGAGTTGTCCGGGGAGTCGCGGTATCGGTACCTTTTGGTGCCCCTGCTACTCTTGGATACGCCCGCGTCGAGACGCAATGCGTGCCCTGTTTTTGTTCAAAGCTTCGGGCAAGATTTACTGGACATGGATAAAAATCGAGCCTCTAGAGGGCAAATTTATCCATATCCAGTGCGCCTCGGGTTTCTGGGGAAGGGAGCCCGGAACTCCATACTGCAGTGGATACGGACATAAGTACTGCTCGCAAAAGCGTCCGCGTAAACGCGTGAAACGTTGGCCTGGCACGTGCTGGCCCGCGTGTCGACGAGCGCAGCGCGCCGGGCCTGCGTTTTCCGTCTGCGCGTGGAGCTCCGTGCCACTACGCGGCGTGTCGAGTGCTGCGCATCGGGGCCGCCAAGCGAAAGGGGGGGATTGGGAAAGGGGGGGGTACGAAGTCTGCTGCATGCAGCTGGTTTCGGCCCCACCGAGGGGCCCATTCCTCGATACATGGGCGCCGGGAGGCGCCGGGAAAATCAGCTACTCCAGATTTCGTAATAAAAGGGAGGGGGTCTGGACCCTCCAAGACAAGCCATTTCAGACCCCCCCCGTGGGAGAACCCTCCAACACCTCGTCCCCAGACCCCCCCAGGCCCTCCAAGATAGCCTGGAGGAGACCCCCCCCCGAAATGAGACCCCCTCCCTTTTATTACGAAATCTGGAGTACGTGAGCTGATTCTCAAACTCCCCCGTTGCTATTCCCCCCCCATTCGCCCGGCCCGAGTATCGGGACAGCTGAGGTCCCCTCGGCCACCTCCTCGAGAGCCTCCTGCGGCGCTACACGGAGCCCAAAGCCAGGACCACAGGAGGAATCTCTGCATCTGCCGATGGCCGAGCGCGCCGCTCGCCCCGGGGAGCCCTCGTCGCCACGGCAGGGTTCTCCTCGAGATCCTGAGCAGAACGCGCTGGGGGAGAGGTCGATGATGATGATGATCATCATCATCATCATCATCATCATCATCATCATCATCATCATCATCATCATCATCATCATCATCATCATCATCATCATCACCATCATCATCATCATCATCATCATCATCATCATCATCAGGGAGCAGCGCGGCATCGGTACCTCACCTCTTGATGCCCCCTCCCCCCCCGAGGAGGTCCTCCAGGATGGAGAAGGCAAGCAAGCTGGAGCGCGAGGAGCTGCGCCACATCGTGGCGACGTACAGGGTGTTGTTCCAAGACCGTCGTCTCAGCTCGAAGAAGAAGCTACGCCATAAACATAAACTTTTGGCGCTCCGCGCGGATTTCTTGGATCCGCGCGGGCCCCCCCGCGGCGGCGCCTCTGGCGCCGCCCCTGGCGCGCCAGGGAGGGGCTCAGCGCAGATCCAAGAAAGCCGCGCGGAGCGCCAAAAGTCCAGGGCGGAACAACCACCTGGACCGGACAAACGGTGTTTGCTAAACGGCCTTGGGCGTTTACTGAACAGCCCTGCCCTGTTCGGTTCCTTTAGCGGGGGCGTTGAGTCAACGGCCTCGCTTGTCGGGGTGGTTATTCTGGGGGTGGAGTCTTTGCCCCCTAACAAGTTTGTGCCTATGGCGTGTCTTCTTCTTCGCCTCAGCGCCTCCACCGCGGGCGTCCTGGTCGACGACGCGGAGGAGGGCAGGCGGCCCGACGCGACCCTGGAGTCCTTCCTGTGCCTGGACGAGCGGCCCCGGAGC